TTTTTTTTTTTTTTTTTTTTTTTTACTGATAGGGGTGTGCGATCAAAAAAGTTTGGAGACCACTGACTTAGAGGTCTGCCTACAAATGCAGGGGCATCACAGCTGCTCCAGACAGCACCAGTCTTGGCTCTGCCTCTGCTGCAGCCAGTCATGCTAACGCAAGCTGAGACTCACCACGCCGATGCCCTCAAAGGCAAAGATGGCAGTGCCGAAAAACAGAGGGTAGGTCTTCCAGCCAGAGACCAGGGGCAGGTGGCCGGGATCCGGAATGCCCTGGAAGAGAGCGGCGTGCAGTCGGTTACAGGAAGGAAATAGAGGCCCCTCGCGAAGCTCTCTGCTTTCATGTCACAACCACGCTCAGGGAAGAGAGGACTTCCCAGAAAGAGAGGAAGGTGAACCACATTGCTTGCAAAAATCCATGCAAGCCCTACCACCACTTTGGCAACGTTATTACCCTGGTTTGTGTCCAATGCCTTACTCGTGTAGCCCTTCTCCCCACTTTACGTACTAGCCACCATCCAGCCAGCCCCTCTATGCACCCAGCCCCTCTCCTGCAGGTCACAGGAGAGACTCCTCCTACCACAAAGGACCTGCGGGGAGGGTGGAGACAGACAAGAATCTGGGTCTTGGCACATACCTGGACGATGTACTGATAGATCATGACGAGGCTGACCAGCATGGCTATGTTGGCCAGCAAGGAGAAGATGGAGAGGAACTTGAGGTTGCGGACGAAGACCAGGAGCACAATGAAGGGCAGCAAGGACAGGATGTACAGGCGGGAGTCCATGGTAGGCGTCAGCACCACGGTTTCATTGGAGTGGCAGTCATTGGTGGTGCCGTTCGCAGCTGAGATCACCTGGGGAACCACAAAGAGGAGACCGGGTCCCGGATTCGTTCCCGTCACCACAGGAGCTTGCAACGCGCCCTTGGCAACTGAGCCCAGGATCTGCAAGCCTACCCCAGCCGCAGCTGTAATGCCAGGCTGGCAGGACCACATGCTTTTCAGAGCTGGTTGGCATTTGGCTTTCTACCCTGCAGTGGCTCCCTCAGCACCGGGGAAGGACTTGGACACCAGTCCCCCCACCCCACAAGGTGGAAGACAGCTCGGTCACATCCTCCTCCTCCTTTCTCAGTCCCTCCACAGCAGGAGCCTCACCTGTTTCAGATTGTCAGCCAGGAACACAAAATACACGCAGCAGAAGCCCAGCTGGGTGACGATCAAGAAGAAGCCCACCAGGTACCTGGGGAAGAGACCAAGATAGAGGGGTCACTGGAGCCGAGCCCACCCTACATGAGCACCCACTGAACCTGCGGCACCCCAGAGCGACAGCAAGTCACTGGCTAGCAGGCCACGGTACGGATGAATCAGCCAGAGGACTCACAGGGTTACTTTGGTTTGTTGGATGCCCCCCACTCACTTGACAGCCAAGAAGGCCATTGTTGGTGCTCTGATGCCCACCCCCCGGCAGCCAAGAGACTGCCAAAGGGAAGTGCCCAGAAAAAGCCGGGCGCCAGCAGGGCCGAGGTAAAACCAGTGCCTGGACCAGGCCCAAGGAAAGGAGCAGCAAGAGAAACAGACACCAATAGGGGCAAATCATCCAGGAGTGGAGTCCAGCAGCCTCAGCAAGGGAACAGGGGGAGCATCCCTCACCAATCCCCACTGCCACACCAGGTTTAGGTCCCTCGGCTAGAGGCAAGGCATCCTTGTCTACACAGCTCCTGGGCAATCGATTACAAGCATGGGAGCAAGGCAGTGAGAAGGAGGAGATCAGAGCTCAGGTTGGGCGCAGAGATGAGAAACAGAAACGATCCCCACTGCTGGAATGGCCCCTTGCCTTGCAAGGGCCAGACCCCAGAGGCTCAGCAACCCCC